TCACAGCCTGCTTCAGGTGTCTCCACCTGCTGTGGTGTGGGATCCTCCATGGGCTGTACGTGGATATCTGCTCCCCCTCATCCTTCCTCCATGGGCTGCAGGGGGACAGCCTGCCTCACCATCGTCTTCACCATGGGCTGCAGGGGGATCTCTGCTCTGGCACCTGGAGCACCTCCTGCCCCTCCTTCTGCACTGACCTTGGTGTCTGCAAAGTTTCTCACATCTTCTCACTCCTCTCTCTGGTTGCAAAAGCTACCAGTAGGGTTTTTTTTTCCTTCTTAAATATGTTGTCCCAGAGGCACTACCACTGTCACTGATGGGCTCGGCCTTGGCCAGTGGTGGGTCCCATCTTAGAGCCAGCTGCCATTGGCTCTGTCAGACACAGGGGAAGCTTCTAGCAGCTTCTTGCAGAAGCCACCCCTGTAGCTCCCCCACTACCAAAACCTTGCCACGCAAACCCACAACAATAATTTATAAGGTCAGCAAAACACTTATAGGTCTAGTTGGGCCTTTCTGTCAAGCAGTACAAAACTTTCACCAATTTTTACCAAATATGAAGACCTTTGTATGAAACCTAAGTGCGTCGGTCCACAACTAAGCACAACAGAGCTCTTACTGGGGTCTCCAAACTCCATCAAAGGGAAGCTAACACAAGCCTAAGAACCTGCTCAGACATTACTGAGCTGCAAGAGTAACATAGCAAAGCGTCTTAAACAGACCTGGAGCAGCAATGCTAGAAGCCTTTTCTCAGCTTCATCTCTCCCATAGCACTGGAAGCTGTGAGTGTAGACATTGTAGCTGTAACCATACAACTTCACTTGCAAGGTGCTATTGAAATTCTCCTGAGAGTCCTCTGGGATAAATGAAATTTGAGTGGAAGCTCCTCCAAGATCCAGTGCACCCACAGTCTCTTTTCCATAAGGATGGACCCATGTCCTCCAAAGGTTTCTCTACATGTAAAAATACAAACAAGGCTAATTAGAAATATCACCTGCTTGTTCTCCCTTCGAGCTTTTCTACTCTTAACTTTTTGAGATTCCCTCCCGCTTTGTCCTGCACCCTTTCCAAAAAATCTCATCTCTGGGGAAAACATGCAGATGCTTTTCTACATAAGAGGGATGTACTTTCACAGAGTGAAATGATCTTTAAAGATGAGAAAAGGGAATGCAGTGTAGCTTTCAACTCAGAGGACAGCACAATGATCAAAGCACAGGACTAGCCAGATCAATATCTGCACTAGAAAGCAGGGAACTGAAGTCCAGGTACCCGTGAGATCTTGATCAAATCTGGATGGAAATAGTATGAAGATTTGCTTGTTTCAAGGCAAGAAGAATTATTAAAGGAATAGAGTATTAAGAGATCACATAGAAAAAGAGAGTGAAAATAAAAGAAAAAACACAGAAATTCAAATGAAAGCTCCATCAAAGTCAGAAGAACAAGGGCCCCTAATCTACACATTTCCTTCACTGAAACTGCAGTGGCAATAAATCTGATCTATTCAGCCGGCATTTTTCCCTATTACCCAAAACATCCCCCAAATTCTGTATTTGATCTACATAGATAATCATACAAAATCTGTATTCTACACCTTGACTATCTTGATATTCACTGTAGTATTATTTACTGAGCATGATGATATGAATGTATACACAAGAAGGGAAAAGGAACTTTATGGGCTAACAAATATAACCATGAGAAAAAAAATCTACAGTGAAAGATTCCCACTAACAGCCACTAGCAAAATTTGACTCTTAGCCCATTGTCACAGGAATGGTGAAGATTTCTCTCTCCTACACATGCAGGTCTTCACACAACTGTCTATACCAAACTGGCTTCGTAGTGTCTTGCAGTCTCTTCGGTAGTCCTTATGAATCTGCCACATGGGATTTGGTATCTGGATTATTACAATTCATGTGGTAGAAAAGTGACACCACCTTGAAGTTCATGACGTCATTTTTGTTGCGTGAAACGCACACAATGAGAAAACTCTTTCAGAACATATGATTTTTCATAACTTTGCAGGAGTCAACAACACATTCACCATGACCTATCACTCAGATCACCAACAACTAATTCCTGCTTGGTAATTACCATGATCTAACACGAATCGTTCAACTAGGACAGCTAACAATACTCAGGGGTTTGGTTGAAATTTCTTTCAACCTAATGAGACTATCTGGAAGGAGTGCAGTCAATGCTAAGGGCAGCACACAGCTGCCATGAATGCAGATAAACTGCATTGCTGATCACCTTGGTACAGCTTTTACTGGGAATGAAATTATACTGAATGTCTATGTATAAAAAAGGGTTCTTACAATACATTTGATTCCCTCTCTGCTATGAGGCCTGACAGAATTCTGACTTCAAGGACAGCATAAGTATCTTTATATTGGTATCACTTTGTCTGCACAAGACATGACAGTTGGTATCACAGCCCACTGGTCATAGCCTGCAGCTCTTCAGCAGTATTGGAATGAATTGTATATGAATGATTTCTGGCTCAGCTGAGGCATATTTGGCCACATCAATTTAACCACCCTCATTGCTTCACACAGTCTTGTCTGCTTAAGACAAGCGAGCCAACACCACCAAACAGTTTGGAGACCCCTAAGCTGTGCAGATCCTTCACCAGTAGAGCTGCAGGGACAGCAAACCACCTGAGGAAGTCACAGAAAAACAGAAGAAGTCATCTTTAATGGGCGCCATTGTCAAGACAATCAACACCTGTCACAACATACCACTGCATTTAAGAGCAATGCAACTTCCCTTTCTAAGTGAGGTATCTGATGTCATTTAGGGAAGAGCCCTGTTTTGTGGATCAACAATTTTATCTGCGCCATATCACATTCCTGTAACATCATACTCTTTGATTTACGTTTGCTTTGTTCTATTACAGCCACAAATGACCCTGTTATATTTAAGTGCAAAATGGAAACTATAATGTTTTAACAGGCATGTCCTCTCAAACTTCTAATCTATAAGAAAGAAACAGTGAAAAGAAAAGCATGCAGATTTTTTTCCACACACCTCTAAGAAATTGCCCATTAAATAGTTGGCTGTTATCCATCCATACACCCCTTCCTCTGGCCCAGTTATGATTTGTGCACCCCTAAATTCAAAAGGTTGTGCTCTGAAGTAGTTTTGAATGCTTGCAAGGACTTCATTGGCTGCCGTTTCATTTTGCAACCTAAGCAATTCACAAAACATGAGACACTGAGCATCTGGAAAGGCAATTTCATGTTTATTGTTCACTGACTAGAAATTCAAGAAAAATCCTACAATCACCTAATAAAAAGTAGACATTGTTTTCCTAAAGGGGAAGCTTATGAAAGGGAACAGCCAAGTATCCAGCATCGTTTCAGCAAGCAACTTCCCCACTACATACAAACTTCACTCTTTATCATACAAGTTCATGTTTCTTTATATGTACTTTTCTTTTTAGTGAGCTGAGTGCTTATATGACAGCTGCTGGTTAAAACAGTCCCAGGGCCTTTCTTCCCACTCCGTTTAGCCACAGAACAAACACAAAAAGCCAGTTTGTGCTAGGGCTAAAGCCACAGAAAGACCCCAAAAGCTACATTACACCACATTCACACTCAGAAAACTCTGCACTGTCTAGCTTTAATCTGCCTTTGCTGCCTACTGATACGCACAAACATTATCTGTTACATATCACTGGATTTTAAGACAGTAATGGAAATGAAAATTAAACTCTTGCCTTCTCCAGAGTAAAGCAAGCATTTCTTTTCAATATGGCATAACAGAGGATTTTTATACAGCCCCACTTTCCCT